AAGTCTCCCATCAACAAAACTCTCTTATTTATTTTAGGTCGTACACATTTTAGTCTTGATTTTCTGCATGATCTCATTAGTAGCTTGGACCAACTCTAAACCTATGAGTTAGTGTTCACCCACCTTGTCTAATACATTGAGTACCTACAATATTTCTTATAAAGTGATTTGAACACTTTCATACTAATAACTTCGTGATAAGTTCTAATACACAGACACATAACATATTTTTTAAGGTTTAGTTTAGAGTTCAGTCTAATCGTCCATTTGTAGATGAAATATTGTACTAGAATCTAATTGTGTACCCAACCCCTTCTAAAGACTATGCAAGAAAATTGATTTAAAGCAAGGTCCCGATCTGAGCCTATTGACTATGGTATCCCATGTAGCCTAACCACTTGTGTCCAACCATCCATTGCGTAGGCAGGCTCTTATCGAAAAATGTTTGTCGATTTGGCAAGTCTATTGATGAACACTCATATCACTTTGTTGCCCTTAATTGTCATTAGAAATCTCATGTTAAAATATGTTGCTATGTTCTTCGATTTTCATTCCAGAATACTCAAATGTTATAATAATCTTATTATTATTTGTTTTGACACCTTCATCCATTGATAGACTAGATATATACTCATGAATTTTGTTATGTTCTCCTTAATATTGTGTCACAAGTACTACTTTAGATATTGGTACATTTTAGTATCGCAAAAATACATAAAGAATGATGGGATATGAACTTCTATCAATATTTCGTTCCTAAACTCATCGTCCATCCACATATATAATTTGTTCATCAATAAAGCAAATTCTATCATCCATTTTCAAATTTAGAAAAATTTAGTCGAGTTACATTTTGTTATTAGTAGAAAAATTTTCGTACATTAGACAAAGTTGTCATCTGATGTTACCTTTGCATATCATCAATGCATTTCTTCCGATTGGTAAATCAATTTCTTTGGAATGCAAATCATCCAATATTTGGCACTTTTTTGAAAGAAAAGTGAGATGCATTAAAAATAACAAATATCTCATGTCCCACTAGCATCGTTCTACAACCCAAATTGATTAAATAAAGGTAAGATCATAAATAAGTGAGAAAAAAAAGTATCTCTATTGTTAAAAAAGTAAAAGTACAAAAATTGATATTCAAAATAGATAATATCATATCATTGTAGAGATACTAAAATCTAATTCTGTGTGTGCAACAACAGCAATTAAATATGCTTGTGAAACAGAGGAAATCACAAGAACATTCCGTAGTCTTAGTAAGAGGGGGGAATTTCTCACTTCTAACTCTTTTTTCGGAATCCGGCCAAAATCAATTGAAAGAACAGAGAAGAGATCGATAGCTGAATCACCTACATTCCAATTCCTTCTCGATACCTCCCAAGGAAAATTTCGAATTGAGGCAATAACTTACCAAGGTGATGATCAGTAGCTGGTTCGAGAGAATGATTGTAACGACCCGGGAAAGAAAGAAATAATAATAATAATAATAATAATAATAATAAAATAAAAAAAAAAAAACTCAGTCGCCGGAAAACCCGCGAGTTTTCCGGCGACCGCCGAGTTTCGCGGAACCCACGCGAAACGACGGCCACAACACGCCCAGCCCTCAGCCCACAACACCCAGCACCATCAAGATACCTGCAAAGAGAGAAAAGACAGAAACTACGAGAGAGAGAGATTTCGGAAAAAAAAATCGGCGAGTGTCCAGTTTCTCCGACAAACCCTCAAACCACCCTCAAACCGACACCAAACGACCTATTACCACCACGAGAATGGTCCCTAACGAAAGCACGATAACTCAAGGTGCATTCTGTGCTTCTTCGTAAACGCCGTCGTCGGTAACCGAGGTCGGAAAATTGGGTTTTTCCTAATCGTTTATAGATCTGTGGTTTTAGGAACCTTTAGGCCGCAAGACTTCTAGAAAAGAAAGAAGGACGACAAAAAAAGAGGAAGAGGAAGAGAGAGGACCGAAATCGGCAATGGAAATGCCGTGGGAAGGAGAGAGAGAAAGTTCGTCGGAAAATCGGCCAAAGTCGGGTAAGGAAGACGAGACCCATGGATCCGGGTCAACCCGAACCCAGAACCCGAGAGGGTCAGCCCATTCTTTCCTCGGCCTTTGCCTTCGGCCCAGCCTAACTACAGCGGCCCAAACCTCAGACCAGCCCAGAAGTTACGGTTCAATTGAACCAACCCGAGACCAGACCCACGGTCTAGTCGAGCCGGCCTGCAACCCAAAAAAAAAAAAAACTTCAGACCAGCCCAATAAGCCGAGGCCCAACTGTAGTCTTGGCCAGTAGCCTCCGCAGTCAGCGACCCGGACCACGACCCGAACCGGACTGCGACCCGCGCTTCGACCCGACGCTACCGCGCGACGTGGCTCGCTCTGCTGCTGTCATGTGTCACATAGCGGCGCAGGCGGCCCCTCGGCTCGGCTCGACGCAAACGACTCGGGCTCCCTCTAGCGACGCTCCGGCGGCTTCCAGCGGCTGTTCGGCTCGGCTCACCTGTTTTCAGCCCGATTTCCACTATTTCGACCCACCCGGATCTGTTTTCGGCCCCGATTAAGGTATCCGAGGCCGTTTTAGAGCCGTATTTCACATTTATTGAATTATAGGTAAATTAATTGTGAAATACTAACGAAAAGTGGTGAACGGTGTGATAGGAAACAAACTCCGACGACGTAGGAAGCAGCTCTCACGAAACGGGAGCTTACGTTTAGCTATTTAGGGAGTACTCCAGCCAAGGCCAACCAAGTAAGTGGCCTTACTATAGGATAGGCTAAATAAATTGTATGAGTTATGATGATGCGTGGGTTATGATGCTTGATGATATGTGCAGTATATGCATATTTTGTTGAATGACGCTTGATATGTTTGCCGCACGTTGTGGCATTACGATGAGCATGATGATTGCATGATTTTTACCTTAATATGATGATGTTTTCCATATTAAGCATGCTAGATGATGATGAGTGTCATATTGCATCATGTCGTTAGATCGACATAGGACACAACCCTAAGAGCATGAAAACGATATTAATATAAATATCCACGAGTATGCGTTACCTAGAGTAACAAAGAGATGAGACTAGAGGGTTGTGTCAGAAGGGACATTACGATGGATTTAGAGGGACCTCATGCATTTTGTATGTTCATAAGCATAGGGTTACTTCCCCTAGAGATGATGAGTGTGGATGCGCACCTTATGATGAGCGCGAATGCGCACAGGTGCAAAAGCACACAGATGAGGATGTTCATGAGGCGCATGACACTATGGGGTTCCGCTGACCTCCAGACGTCGCTACAGATTAGCTTGACCAGAGGGTCTAGAGGGTGTGCGAGCGCCCTGGGGACTCACACTCGCATGTGTGAGTCGTGTGTAGGGAAGTACTACACATCCAATTTGTCTGAGAATGGAGGCCACCCCTAAGATGATTAGAGATAGGTCCCTATTCATGATTGCATGTGTGTGCATTAGCATGACCCCTATAGTGGGGTCACTTACTGAGTATTTCTCGAAATACTCAGGCCGTGTGTCATATTGTTTTTCAGGTAAAGGCAAGGCTCCCATGTACGGTTGACGGTGGCATCGTGATCAGAGACTGTGGCGCGTGCATAGGATAGTTGCATATTTAAAATTCATAGTCTTGATTAGGATAGGGCGTTTGCATTTCGTTCATTTATATTAATTAATTTGTAATCGTTTTATTTTATCTTTTGAACTCCAGCACGATGTTTGAAACACGTAAGTCCGGCAGTGTTTTCCAATGTTTAAATGTATTCTGAAGTTTAAAATTTTTTCGCTAATAAAAATGAACATTCTTAGATTTTTATTCTGCATTAGAGATAAACATGACAATTCTAGATATGTGGAAATTTAGGGGTTCAATAATGAAAATCTAATTAAGTTACATGACACAAATTGTATTGATTTGTTTGTTTGTATTATCCACTTGTTGACGTAATCAATGACGTGGCAGATTAGAAAAATTCTTTTTCTACTCTCTCTTTTCCTTCCTCTTTAATTATGGATGAAGACAAGTTGGGTGCCTTCAATTTCTCTCCATGATGTAAGCTTCATCCATCTTATCTATAATTTTCATTTCCCTCTTTATTGTTTTATTTTCATTTTCAACCTTTGATTAGAAAAAAAAAAAATATATATATATAGTGAAAAAACAACCTCGTGGTTATGTGACAAATCTTAATTTTATTTAATATAATTTGGGTTATGAGTGAAACTTGAATGCATTTAATACAACACCATTTCCAAGGGCTTTACACTCATTACAATGCTCTATTATTATTATTTTAGTTAGGCTTCCTAATATTTTGGTTATAAATTGAAACTAAATATCAATTAGAAAAATCAAAGATATTATTGAAATTTTTTAAAAATAAATAATTCACCAAGACAGATGTCTATTAAGTGACCCAACAAGTGAAATGGAATGGACGAAGAAATAAAATAACAACTAAGCACTTACAAAATTATTTTTAAATAAAACTGAATTATCAAGGTTCCACCTTTTCACAATATCATAAATATATTCAATAATTTTTTTTTTTTTTTTTTTTTTTTT